AGTGCGACACGAGGGGGCGTGTTGATGCGAAGGGTTGCCGTGTCGCCCTGTGGCCTGCTTGGGTAACTTGTCAGGCTGTCGTGAGTGACAGCTGTGGCCGGTCTGAGGTCGCATGTTAGACTGAGTAACAGCTTTGGACCTGTCTCGGGAGGCCCGTCAAAACGGCTATTAGGTTCTAGCGTACTGATAGCTCTCGTCCTTTTGGGATAGGCTTTCCAAGCCTTTATAAGTCTCTGTTGTTTATCGGTAACAGTACCTCAGATTCACACGTTTACGCCTAGGCAAAGGGGTTTTCGGTGGTAGGTCGCGGATCTCCCGAATACGTGTAACGGCTAATGTCTCCTTAGTCGTGTCTGCTAGGTCCCTGTGAGATAGCGTCTCACCAACAGACCACAGCACAACAATACTTGATCCTAGCATGGTGATAGTGGCCCCTCATCCCACTGGGCGACACTGCTCTGCATCACGAACTACCCAACCGGCCCGGTGCACGATGGCCCCGCTCTGCAGCCTGTCCCCTTAAACTGCGCACCGATCCTCACCATGCTCACAAGCAGCAGCCTGCAGCAGCGAGCCTGCAGCAGGGGAGGCACAACGGATCCCAGTGCGAATGCAGTGTCAAGGTCGCAGGCAAACGACTACCCCAATGTGCGTTGGATTGCCCCGTGCAGCTGCTGCGTGTACAGGGTCACAGGTGGATCCCACAGCGGCAGGAGTGTTCGCGCGCTCTTCAAGGTAGCTCAATCACATACGATAGGTGGATCCCGCGACGGCCAGCGTGCTCGCATGTCCATTCGCCAAAAGCTCCGGGGTGACGACACAACGCACGCCCCTAGCTTCGTAACGAGTCCTCCTGCCTCCAGCGACTACTACCTCTTACCTTGCTGCTACCTACTGTGACTGCTGATGTCACAGCTCCTTCCAGATACTTGCACATCAACTCGCGGTCATACCCAGGCGAGGCCCAGCCCGCCTGCGACACTATGACCTCGCCAGGCTTCTGCCAGCCGGCGCTCACAGTGTACTTGATTGCGTGGTGTGCATGAAATGACAGCAGGCGGCGGGCGGGCAGGTTGT